AATCAAAGATATTTAAATGAGATTTTTCTTTGAGATCTGTTACTTTTATTTAAAATGATCATACCGTCGATTCGTTGGTGACGGGCAGAATCCGGCGAGGATACGATCGATGATGATTGCGCCGCAGCTGCAATAGCAGCGTTGAACTTGCTTTTCTTTCCTGATTTTCCTCTCCCGTGTATCTTGTGCGCGGCGAGATCGTTGAGAAGATCGTCGGGCACCCTCATCAAAAGCAACTTGGGTAATCTTCTGATGAAAACTCTTCTCACCCAAGGTGCCATTTTATGGGTGCTCGGTTTGCGGTAGTGTACGTTCAGAATAATAATCGTTATCACGACCGAAAACCCAACTAGAATCATGGTGAAGAGTAGATACTTGCCGAGTAACGGTAGCGCCAGCGATGTGGATGGTATAATCTCGGATATCAGTAAGAAGAACATGGTCTGGGATAATAGGATATTGATGCAAAGCGCGATCTTCTCTCCAGAATCAGCCGGCAGATAGAACGCCAGAACCGACAAATAAGAGATGCTGACGCATGGCACTATAAGATTTACTGTATAGAATAGCGTTTTGCGACGCAAAGTTATGTTGAAGAAAATATCGGGATATGGCTCGAGGCAACACGGATAGTATTTTTTGTGACGTTCCGCCGGAACGCCCAATATATCCCATTCCACACTTGGATAATATTCTCGTAGATCGATACCTACTTCGACCTTGTCGCCCGCCTTTTGATTAATATGCTTTAAGTCGATCTAAAGAACACATTTTACATACGTAAGTGAGTGAGCGTTTAAAATTTTTCGGATTTTTAATCGACGTTTTGCATTCCAAAATATTGTATATAATAGCAAAGATTATTGCGCAATATGCACAACAACGCTATTTATATAATATAGAGAAAAAGATAATATTACGACTCCCTATTTATATTTTATATAATAACTTTGTTAATAATATTTTAAATTGAAAACTTAATGATTATTTTATCAAAGTGTTATTTAACGGACTAATAGTTATAAAATATTATTTATAAAAATATGATGACGGCATAATAGATTGAAAAGAAATAGAAATGATGTAGCTCCTCGCCATGGGCATAACCAGGATTTTTTTTTCGAGAGGAAGTTTTATCAATTCTGTTCAATATAAACAATAATTTCTTGCGTTAACAAATTGCTTTTTTGGATATTTTGGAGAGTTTAGAATATTTCCTCACTCCTGATTTTGAATGAGAAAAATATTAGATTTTGTAAATAATTTTAATTTTTTTTTTAATTTTAGAAGGGTTGAATCCTCTACCTTCTTCCCCTCGATACGCCCATGCTCCTCATTAAAATAAATTTTATAAATTAATTTGAAAAATATTTATTTAAAATAAATTTTTAAAATTGTTTAAATTAAATATTATATCCATATCTGAACATGAATTATAAGTTAGCAGTAGAACTATAAGTTATGTAAAAGTTTAAAGCTACACAAGAATCACTATATATTATATTATGACAATATATTTACTTACTTGAAAGCCATCGTACGTCCATGATCCGAATTTCATGAAACAGGTTTGCTGATCGAAGGGAAAATATCTAACGTCTATTTCGCAGGAAGATTTAAAAATTGCCGGAGGAGTCCAAAGCACTTTGCCGGTATAATGCAAAATAGCTTTGGTCATTGTTGTTACACCATATTCTCCATCCGCGCTGAAAATACAATTCGTTATTTCGAATTAACGCGTTTATAAATTTCTAATGCGGATACATAACTCTTTGTATAATATTCAAATAAAAAAATCAATAAAAACCAGGCACTGCAACTTGCAGTACATGCGCAGCATGCTTATATGCTTTCTGATCGCGATAATCGTAAAAGAAATAAACCAGACGTAACGTAGCATCACGTACTTGTTATAAAGTACAATGTCGGGCAACCATATATGTTCGCTGGGCACGTAGAGTTCAGTGACACCACCGTATTCCAAGGGATCCCACTGGAATTTATGATCCTGCCATTCCTAAAATTATTAATTTGGCTTCAGTTGTCATCGATCTTTCGTAATTTCAACGGCAACCATCTTTTAATGTAGCTCAACACTTACATGCTCCAACCAAACGTTTGTCGTTAGGATTTGATCTTTTAAATTCTGCAAATGACGAGTAGATTTCATTAGGTTTATAAAAATTCTCTGCTGGATATATATGTGATTTACATATAATATACGTGCTGCATATAAACTTATAAATTTTCGATAATAGAATCATATGTTTGTTATGTAAATATATACACTACGTACGAGGTCTATCAGTTGTGAGAGACGAAGACCTAATTTCACAACAACGGTATCGGTATTGTTTGATACAGGTCGAATCAGCCGATTGTAATTTGAGAGCAGATCATCGTAAAGTCTCTTAGCATCTGGATTGCTGTAGCAGATTCCCACCGAAAGGATCAGAATGATTAAAGAGAATATCATTTTGGCCTTGTGCGATTAAATGTGCGATTAAACGAGACTCATCAAAAGCATCCTGCACAGAAATATTAATAATTCGACATGAAGCTATCCAATCAACATTATATATAAATTTATGAAATATCCAAAGATTTTCAAACTTTTTTATATTTTAAAAATTATTATATTCAATATCTTCAACATTATATTTGTGTATATAAATGTCCATTTATAATACTTCAGATTATCTTTTGCTTAGTTATTTTGCCATGCAAATTTTTGAAACTATCATTATTAAATTACCTTTACCATTCAACTATCCTAAAATTGCTTCCCGTTTGTTCAAGAAAGTTAGCAAAATAATAAATTAAAATTTTTATTGGAATTATTCTACACATGCGATTAAATTTTTCTATTTAACTATTATTTATTTTTTTTTAATTGTTTTTTAATTGTTTAAGGTTATGATTTAATTTAACTAGTAATTATTACGCTATGTCGATAACTAAGCTTTGTAAGTTGTTAGTTGTAGAATTATGAACCTGTTGCATTAAGCAGCTATCATATTAACTTTTATAAGAAGTACTTTAATTTATTAAATTGTTTGTATTGAGATATTAATAGATAAAGTAAAATAAGTAAGTTGATTAAATTTGAAATAATTTTATGCCTATTCGAACAGCACAATATTTTCCTGAATCAGTATGTAATAACATAAATTATTATATTTCACAGATCATATTAATATCTATTAATATCTATATATACATTATATTTCACAGATCATATTAATATCTATTAATATCTATATATACATTTAATAAAAAAATTTTAAATATTGTATAAGTATATTCGCAAATGTAAGTTTACAAGTGTGCTAGTTTTATGAACTGAACTAAACAAATGTTTAACGCAGTATTTTTTGCAACATAATATAAATAGCCCTTTTCATGCAATTGTCATCGTTTTTACGCTGATTATGCACAGAAAAATATATACTGAAACGCGAAAGCTTTTCCGCGTAGGGAAGCGTCCAGTTGCTTTATATGTTTACAGCGCTTATTAACTTTGAGCTTATTGAGCAACTATTTTATTTATTACCGAAGCCGGGCATATGGTGTACGTGTATCGAACATAATCGAAACAGTCGTGGCATACTTGCGCTTCGGCTTCCTCGTATTCCTCGTTACCCGCTCTTTAAATACGGTGCTTTTTTATCCCTCCCCTTCTTGTGTATCATAATCTGCCGTAATCTGATATATACGCTCGATCTCTCAGACGCACGAATTATCAATCGGCGATACCTCGGGCGGATTACGGTCCGGCTCTCATTACTCGCGCGGATCGTCCCGCTCGCGAAACGCCGGAAGAACGTCGAGCAGAAATGACATTGTGTACAGCCGCTGGACCACTGGGATGCTGGTACGTACATCTGAAATTCGCAGGATCAATACACCATTGCGCATGTACCAGCGTGGTTGGTTTCTGCCTCTGCGCTCTGCGAGCGCATCTTTATCGCGCAAACTCGTCGATTTCTACTGCGTCGCCTCGCAGACGCAGAAAAAGACGGACGTGTCGGCCTGGGCCTCGACATTTTCCTGGGGGTTACTACGCCCTTTCCGGACGATTTTCATAACTCTTTTCATATTTATGTTATTTTCTTTTTTTTATATTTATTATGTTTAACGAGAAAGATGCTGGTAACTGGTGAACATTTAATTCACAAGAAAACAAGAGAACTGTTATAATTATATGTAATATATGTTATAATTCAATTTTGATATTTTATTAAGTTGATTTTTATGAAAAAGGAGAAATGCGAAGAGATATGAAAGTGTCGTCTTTTCTTGGTTGAAACTTCTGAAACGTTCCACATTTTTTATCTACCTTGCACTTTGAGTAATGCAATCATGTAAACAGAAATGAAGCTAACTTGAGTCTTTGATCATTAGTTTTTAAGTCTTCAGTCATTTAAAGTCTGATTTGTTTTTCTCTTTTTTTCTCTGTTGTATTTAAAAGGTAATTAACTAGCCAAACTACCAACGTTAATCAACTTTCTTTGCAATATGTTTTTACTAATTATCATAAAATACGATTTGGCACTTTTTTCTTACGGTACTTATATGGTACTCTGCATTTTTTTCGGGGGTCGAGCTTCGTTTTCCTTCATACTGTATATATATATATATATATATGATATACATATGATATACATATAAGCTCGATGATAAACCGGTTTATTTTCTCGAGATATTACAGCTCTTGCAAATCCACTCTGGAGTGTCAGAACCACTGGTAGCTTAGTTTCTTTTCTGTATACCGCATACATTTACATTTCACTTCGCGACTTTTCCTATTTGCACAGGTTAACATTATTTTAGCGAGATGCGCGCGCGTTTACGAGTATGACTATATTTCTTCCTCATCAAATAATTCTCTAAAAATTCACTCAGCTTGTAGAGAAACTATTTTTTGTTACAGATGTAAATCTGTGAGGTAAACAGAAAGAAAAATAATAATACTCCCTTCACGCATAATTAGCAGAATATTTCGTATCTTGTAACCGATCGATCACTATAATCCATTAATTATCACGATCATATCTTAACTGGGAGGATTACTAATGACGGGTATCATCTTGTTTATATATTCGTATAAATTTTAATATGTAATATGAAATCGTCATTGCGTCAAGTGCGACACGACGCTCTCGCGCAGCCAGACATTTAGACACTCTTCTTTATGGCGAGGGGCGAGAGACATTGTACATTACAGCACTTTATTCTTATGCGTAGGTCATTCGCCTATATACATACGCTTATACCTCTCGCGTCCGCCTCGCGCCGTTTTGCCTCTCGAGTTCCAAGATAAACGTAACTGTTTTTCCGCATTTCCCTCTTTCCTCTTCCCTCTTCCATCCACCCTCTTCGTCTCGCTGAGCCACCGGCGAGAAAACTGCAACCCCCGCTTTCAAGAGTACAACGTCGTCTTAGGGGTAGGATAGGGTCGCGTGTTTTGTTATGTACATGTCTTAGACTTGCGCGGACGGATATACGGGGATGGATCGTATCGAATGATCTCTTGGGATACAACATACTGGCACATGGTGGCGCGAGGAATTCCACGTCCCTTACCGAATGCGTCGTTGTCTCTTATTCTTTACAATAATCGTTCCCGCTCAATAACGTTTTGTTACGTTACACCCGCGATGTTCTTCCGATCATGCGACACTCGCGGCATATCTTTCGATCTAAATATTCGATCGGCGTTGTTCGACCAAATGGCTGTTGTATTCCGCGCGCATTGTCTTGGAGAAAATTGCACCGTCCAAAATTGCACCGTTTACTCCTTAATTGTGGCAAAGTTAATTTAAAGTTTCCGACGACACGACGACGATTGGAATTTTATTCTTTCACGAGCATGGTAATGGAAGAGGTATGTTCGGCAACTACTTCTGAGAAAGCAAACTACTCGCTCGAAGACCTCGTAGGACCTCGCCTCGTCATCATTCCGCGAATTATTAATCAGACTACCCATTGCGTAGAATCTGACGTCGAGCAGAAGCGATCTTCCTTAATCACGGCGAAAGTTGTACCGGCGTGTTTGAAATTTCCAACGTCTGAGCGCCGTGGCACGAAGATAGGGTGGGCTGTGAGAAAATGCGAGAGGGAGAGAGTGAGAAAGACGGAGGAGCAAGAGATTCGCTCGCGATACGAGAAAACGGAGGGAGAGCCGGCGTGCAATCTGGACGTAATCGCGGGTTAGCAGAGATGGTTACGTCAGGAATGGTTGGTCTCCGGGACATGGCGGTAATTAATGTAGTCTCACGCATCGGACAATCTCCCGTCCTTCGTTCCGCGTCACACCGTACGCGACTCGCTTTCGCCTTATGTTCCACCCCCATCGTACTGCCACCACACGGAGAAAACTTTCAGGACCGTGAGATAAGCCAAAACCCCATTACAGTTCGCCGTTAGATCCTCCCGTTGTGGCCCCTCAACGGTAGTGGCGCGAGATCTCTCCTCTCTATCTTTGTTCCACCGACTATTCGTATCTGCCGTTTCGTCGGCCTGCTCTCTTCGGGATCTACCTTTAACCCCAAGATAATGGGGCTGAAATGGTGTTGGAGTTTAAATGAGTGTTTGCGCGCACTCTGTAAATTATGGCGACCCCTTTCGGGACACCCCGTTGCTATATACGTGTACGAGCGGCGTTCAGAAGGTGCGATGTCGTCACGTATCACGCCTGGCTGATTATTGTGTAGCATGCGTTAAAATAGTGTCTGCACGCCCCTTCTTCGTACGATGTGCGATGTGTGCCATGCGCCGGTATTTTTATTCATTTCTTTGCGCAGTCGATTAGCTCTCTTTCCGTTCAATGTTGAATTTGCGACCGAGAGAGTATAATTATCCGTCCCTCGATGATATCCGAGTTAACGAGAAAAGCAGCGTATTGTTAATTGTCACGACGACACGGCATTGTTAATATTTTTCCTCGAACAATATTCTTATTCTTTGAGCGCGAGCAAGGGGAAGATTTTAGATTTCAAACATAATAAGCAAATATGATTCTGGTCGAAATATATCTTATTGCACGTGATCGAATTTAAAAAATATAGCTTCGACACGAGTACTTCTGTGAAGAACACATTTAAAATTGTCGTTCGTGAAAGGAAATGGAATACAGGAGAAGAAGCATAAACGCCTTCACGTTTTTATTGCGAGCAGTCACACAATTTCGCAGCGTTAGTATCGACTATTTAGCTGCCGCTACTGCTGTCAAAAACAGGCCAACGGCGGTAGGTACTTTCCAAGACGGCATCGAGTTACACCTTCTCAACTTTATTATCCACACTTCGCTTACGACTGCGACATACCGTGCAGATATCACGTATTACGTCGTACTATCCGGAATTGAAACTGCAGAACTCACCTTGCATCATTCAATGCTGAATGAGGGCAACTACCGGCGATTGAAGTAGTTACTTCTGCTTAATGTCGGCACCTTTACAAAGTTACCATCTCGCTTTTAGAATTGCGATATAACAGATAGATCTATTCTTTGAGCAAGAACGGCTCTGGCTCTTTCCCAAAGAGTTTCATTTCGAAAAATGCAAAGAATCGAGGTTCGAAGAACAACACGTCAGTTTTGTTCCCGACAAAGAGTGTTAAAGAACTTTTTATTTCGATCAGAATCGACAAACGGCTTTTAATCAATTTCTTAGATTATTTTATTTAAAATTCTCAAGAAAATGTGAGATTGCAACAGAAAAAACATTATTATAACACTTATTAAAATCTTATTAAAATAAAAATATCTTTTTAAAACATCTTATTAAAATAAAAATATCTTTTAATCTTTTAACTCAAGAGTGCTCACGCTCTAGTCTATGTTTTTTCGCATTTCTTCGCTTGTTTGATTACATCTTTCCATCTCTGCTGGCACTTTCATATTTTTTCTTTGACGCATATTTTTTTAAAATCCATTATAAGACCGTGTATACAGGCTGCTCTGCTCTTACCGCATTATGTATGTATCTAAGAAACGGGAAAATGCATACTCACAAACTTCTTTTTTCAAAAGAAGCTTACAGAGGTTCGAGGTGATGGATGATTCATAGTAAAAATTTACTTTCAAAATTCATTAGATAGATATGGAGATGAACTCAATTAGATTAAAACTTGTACGTAATATATAAGATGGATCTTTCCTTAAAAGTTGTTATTTAAAGAAAGTTTATTTTATAAATTAATATAAGTTGTTTATATCAATTTCCTATTTTACAATAAAATTGTCAACAAATAATTATTACATAAAATTATATTAAAAATTATATAAAATTATATATAAAATTTTATTTATTACATGCAATTATTTATTCTTTTATTAAAACAAACATTTATAAGTTGATTAATTAATTAACTAATTTTTAAAAAATGGATAAATGCCAACGTAACATTCATATTTTTGAATGTTGCGTTCCGCGGATGCTTATCTTTAGATTTAAAAATTTGTACTGATAATGTACGTTGCTAATCGCCGTAAAACATAAATATTATTTGTCAAGCCAAGTGTGGAATGCACGAAAGTGCATTAGGAGCAACAGGTATAGCATCGCTGCGGTGGTAGTTACTCCTGGCGCGTAAAGTTAGCCGCGCAATTTACGTGAGTTCTCTTTGCGATTTCAGATTCATCTATTGTGAGACTCTATTGAGTAAATTGTAATTTTCTTGTATTTGTGTGTGTGTGTGTGTGCGCTTTTTGGCGCATTAATTTTTATCCGAAAGTAATAAAATTTATATCGCGCATGATTGACTGAGAACTCTGTACGATCGTAGTTAACTGAATTCTCGCGAGTAAAAGTCATGGAAGAAAAGCCATGAATAAAAAAGGGAAAGACTTGGAGAAACATCGGGCGATGAAGCAATTATGAAATGA